CCCATCCTTGGAGGTATTTAAGGGAGGTGTGGATGTGGCACTAAGGATTAAGGACAGGACCCAGGTTGATGGTTGGATATCGTGATCCCAAAGCTTTTTTCCAACCTAGGTGATTCTATGATTCAGATATTTGAAAAGAAAGGAGTTGCTCGTGTGAGCTACCACTTAACTCACCCTAGTTCTGTGCAGTAGAAAGGAGTAATGACATTTGCTCCATTTTCTGCATGGGATGTCAGCTTCCCAGCTTCTCTGGCTTCTCTCTCTGGGTCCACAAGTGACCGTGGTAAAATGTAGAGTTCCTTGGAGTGGTCAAAATGCCCTCGGACCTTTACAGGCCTGTACTCCAATTCCTTCAACTCCATAGGGCTGCAGAGAACAAGATGAAACGAAAATCACAGCTGTGAGAGGCAAATTACAAGGCGGGATTTTACTGTGGAACTCTTATCTTCCTTACTCTAATGTCAGAGGGATGGGCTCTGAGGAAAGTCTGGATGCCAGCCGTGCAATCAAATCTAATTTCCATTTTCGACGCTGAATCTGGAAGTACACAAACACAAAATGAATTCCTATTGGTAGACCAGAGCAATGTAACGATCATTGCAAGCCTTAAAATCTATTTCCTGGTCATAAGTTTGTCCTGACCATAAACAAAACAAATTGAGATATGAAAATGGAGACTGCTGACTTTGTCTGGGGAAAATATTTATAACAAAAGTGTTTAAAAAAAAATGAATCTCTCCATCAAAGACTTGCACAAACCTCACCAGTGTGCAGTGGGAAAGCAGAAAGGTAAAATATCAGCAAATCTTTGCCCTGCCTATGGCACCATCTATAGCAATCAGCCCGAGACTGAAACCCTGACAGCCACAAAGCATTCATCTCCGAAGAAATGCAGCATGTGCTGGCTGGTACCTGCCATGTGCCCAGACAGAACGCAGTCAGGGGCACGAGGAGGAGGCCCCACTTCAGCCAGACGTCCTCTCCCGATGCACTGGTGGCTGTCGTGGAGCTTCGTGGGCTGCAGAGCCTCAAGCAAACATCTGCAGAGAACCAGAATGAGGAACCGGACAGCAACAGGAGGAGAGCTGATAAATTACTTTGGAAAAGGCACCTCAGTGTGAGGCTGAAAGCGACAGAACCCCACACAGATCTGCTCACCTCTCTGCTGGGTCACAGCAGAACCTGCTTTTGTTCGGGGAAAGCCAAACAACGTCCTTCTGAGCAAGCAATGCGGTATCTAAAGAAACCAAACAACATCCTTTGCAGCCTCTCTGCATTGCACGCGTTCCATCTAGATGCTATCGGCTGTCCCACCACCACAATGACCCTTCCATACCTGCTACCCGCACGCATGTGTTTGTATTACAGCACGTACACAGCGCTGCAGTTTGCTTTCAAATAAACGCCGGGCGAGCGCCTTTCCTTCTCTCTCTCGCTCGGTGCTCGGCGAGGCCCTCCCCGCCCCCTCGGAGCCCACCCAGGCCCTTCCCGCTGCTCTCAGCGCTCACCCCGGCCCTTCGCTCTCGCAGCAGACGCGGCCCCGCACGCAGCAGCAGCCCCCACGCCGCCATGGGGCAACGCCACCGTCGTCTCCGCTCCGCCCAGGCTGACCGCGGCTGCCGCCCCTCTAGCTCCCCCTCTCTATGGTACCGCCGCTTCCCGGCGAGGCCCGTACCGGAAGTGAGGAGGCTCCTGTCTGGCAGCGCCTCTCTATGGTGAGGTGGGGCTTTGCGGCGTGCTCATGGCGGAGGTGGCTCAGGAGGTGCCCGAGGAGGTGCGGCTCTTTCTACGGCAGCACCCGCTGCTCAGCCTCGCGGAGTCGGGCAAGGTGGGCAGGAGCAGTCTGCGGATAGAGCTGGGGAGAGGGGTGCTGGGGCCGCGTTACCTGAGGAGAGGCTGGAGCGCTTCCCACGAGGGGAACGAGGCCGCCTGAGCTCAGCCCTCAGGCCGGGGGGGTTTCTCCCGCTGTGTAAATCGGGGAGGGTTGGGGAGGAAGGTCCTGAGAGGAGCTGGGGTCGGCCATGCCCTGCCCTCCCCCGGGTCATCTCTGAGCTCTCTGACCGAGACTCCTCGTTCACAGGTGCGGTGCAGGCTGACAGGTCACGAGCTGCCGTGCCGACTGTCGGAGCTGCAGGCTTACACCGACGGCAGGAAATACCGACGGCTGATAAAAACATCCAGAGAGTTTGATTATGGCACCTTCGAGCCCCATATTGTGCCCAGCACAAAGAACCTGTGGGTATTCCAGTGCATTCAATCTCAGTGGCTGAGCGAAGATCTTTTGCTTGTTTGTTACATTTGAGCACAGTATGTGTAAGTGAAAGGTTATTAGGTAGCTTGCTTAAAGTCTGTTTGTGGCTCTTTCTTTTTGTGTGTGTGTGTGTGTCTCAGCCATCAGCTGTTCTGCAAACTCACTCTCAGACACATCAACAAGCTTCCAGAGCACGTCCTGCGTCACGTCCAAGGGAAACGCTATCAGAAGGCACTGAAAACATGTAAGTTGGCTGGCTGTACCTTCACAAAAGCTGCTTTCTCCCCTGAGCTGTTGAAGTTCCAGTAGCTGTATGTGAAGGGAATGGGTAAGTTTGCTCTAGCTGACAGCAATTTGCTGCAATTGCTGTGTGTGCATCTCAGCTGGGAAGGAAGGTCCCGAGAGCAGGGATCAGCTGGCTTCTTTAGCAGATACTTTGGAGCATTCTTATTTGGAAGGAGTGGTACAGAAGATTCCCCAGAGTAGGGGTTAACATGTCCAGCTTTAAGAGTATCTGCGTTAACATCTTTCATGGTCTGCAGTATCGTGTTGATTATGTGAACATGTACTGGAGCTTGACGTGCTTCTGAGTCGCATTTAATATGAAGTAGAGCCAGCAGTAAATAGGACTCAGGGCTTGGGCAGCTTTGCTAAGTGCTGCTCAATCCCTTGCACCATTAGATGAGAAGTGCCAGAAGGAAGGGGTGAAGTATGTCCCTGCCTGCTTGCGGCAGAAGCAGCAGCAGAGACAGCGCGCTGACGACCAAACGAATGGGAGCAGGCAGCCTCACAGAACAGAAGAATTCTGGGAGCCCAGCTCTCCCAGGACAGATGAGGATGAGGATGGAGAGGAGACGGACGACAGCATGAGCGATCTGTACCCACGTGAGTAAGAGCATTGCCATCGTGTGTGTCCTGCAGCAGGTTTGTCAGCTCATTGCCTCACAGTGCCTTGGTACTGCTGCTGTCTGCTCGCATGCTGGAGGCGTGACCTCCTTCCAGTTTGAGGTTCTTGGATTTGGTAAAAGCTTCCCACTGCCAAATGTGAAATAGCAGTTATCACACAGCTGGATCCCGTAAGGTGTGAGGGAGGGATACAGGATCTGCTGTTTTTTGCTTTAGGTATCATTGCTCTCCTTATTTCTCAGCAAGTACCGCAGCCTGACGGAGCTGGTAAGGCTGTTCCACTCACATCTGGAAAACACTGCCTTGCTGTAGGAGAGCAGAGCTTTAAGACCCCAGAACTGCCTGTGTTGCCTGGTTCCCAGATCTGGGCTAATGAGAGCACCAGGCATTTTTCTAATAAAACTTCAGTGCGTTTGTTATTGAGTATTTCAGTAGTGATGTATATGATGGGCTAATCCTTGGAGGCCAGAGTCAGCTTAGACAAGCAGAAAATAAGGTTACGGGTTATCAGAGCCCGTGTGCACAAAGAGCTGATCCTGAACTAAACCTTTGTATTTTAGCTGGACTCTTCCCAGAAAAAAGCCCAGCAGCTCCACAAAACACAGAGGCCAGCGATGGTTTTGCAACAGACAGCGAGGACGATGGGGCCGAGCTGAGTAGGGAGAACGGTGACATGAATGGAGATGGTGACAGAATGGATGTCAGCAGAGCAGCTGGCAAGAGGGGAAAGGTGGGAGTCACTTTGCTGTGTGTAGCAGATGGGGAGCGTGAACAGCCATCATGCTATCCTGTAGGTGGTTTCTGATCTGTTCCTGTCTGAGAATCAGCAGAAGGTGTAAATCTATTTGGGAGAATACTTTCTCCATGTGCCAGCCATTGACTTGCATCCTGAGGTGTGAATTAGTAGCAGTAAATGTTTATCCTGTCTTCTCCAACTGAGGATCTTCCTGTATAAATATCTCATCTTTGATTGAATCCTGCTGCACCATCTTGACAGTAAGACTTTGGGTTCTGTAATCCTCCTCCATACACACACGCACACAGCTAAACAGTTCCAAAGTCATGGACTCATCCTACACCTTTTTCTGCTCCTACCTGAGGAGCTGACCAGGTCCTGCCTTTGGGTGTGCTTACAGGAGGGTGTGCCCAGATCCTTCTCAGTTTGGGAAGCAGACACCTATACATGAAGGTGAAGAAACTCTCTTAGGAATCCTTTCTGATTGTATCAGTTGAAAGGTTAAGGCTGGATGAAGTTTAGGTTCATTTCTGTGGGGAGAGGGCCACTGTTTGCATCTGATGAAACCTCAGAGATGCTGAGGTGCAGGATAGGGCAAAAAACCACCATGGCTGCCCTGTGCCCTGGGCTGTGCTTGTTCTGTCTCTTGGTAAAGGAGAGCACGCTTCATTTCTCTTTAAGCAGTCTGGGGCAAGGCTGGGTTTAGTTTCTGGAAAAAGCTGATTGATTTTTTCTTTCTACAGAAACAGTCCGGCCCTTCAAAGAAAAAATTCAAGAGCTGTCATCAAAAACCCAAAAAGTTCAAGAAAACAACCAATGGTAAATAAATTTTTATGATAAAAACTCAGCTTGAAGCGTCTTGTGTAACAATTCCAGGTGGTGCACAAGACCAAAGCGTTCACCTGTAAGCCCTGCTGCCCGTTCCAGTTAACTGTTACAGCAGGGAGAAACAGCAAGGGGGAACTGAACTGCATGTTAAAGCTCTCTCTATCCACTACTCACAGAACAAGAATTACTACAGCAACATAAAGGCAAAGCCACTGCTTGGAACTCTTTCCAAAGAGAAAAAGCATGCACGTTTAAGTGTCACTAGTCATACACTTCAAGTGGATACAAAGATGCCATTTGTTTTTATTTTGATTGTTTCAAAAATCAAAACATTTTCAAACACAACTAAGGTACAAAATACAGCATAAAATGAGAATTTATACTTTTTTTTTTTTTCCACATAGAAAGCAAAAATATATTCAGAATGAATTCCAGAACACTTTGCAGAACCAATTGATAACTGACATCCTGTTTCTCAGCCACTGGGGGAGGTCACTGTATTTTTGGGAGATGTGTGAATACAGCAGTGTATGTAAGATACCAGAATCTTCTGTACCAGGACTCACAGCTGTAAGTCCACATATTGCGCTGCCTAGAAATACCTTGTAATGCCCTCCACCTTACAGTGCCTCTTCAGTACCAGAATACTTCTGCTGCAAGAGGCAGTAACAGTTCCCTTTTTGGGGTCTCTTATGGGAAGTCGGACTCTTTATTTTCACAGAGGAAACTGGTCAGTATTTCAGACTAGTCCATCATCCAGCTCCTTAGTTAGACAGGACACAAAGAACAAGCTGAGGAAGCTGACTAAGGGCTACCTACAGAAATTCAATTTATAAATACTACGAACCCCAACAGCAGTTGAGAGATCTGAGAATGGCTGCCTTGATGTAGTCTAACAGTTATAGGACCTGCAGTGAAACTGAGCAAAGAACATCCTGTGCTGCACATCAGGAATTGAAAGGACTAGTTTAGTTTGCTATAAAGAGACAGGCACAGTTAACACTTGAAGTAAAAACCTCTCCTGCAAAACCTATTTAAAAGGAAGCCTTCTAAGTGACCTGAACTTCAATGCTGGCTTCCTCTCATCTACCCCCAAATACTCATCTTCCTCCCTCCTTCAGCAGCAGCACATCCTGTGGTTACATGGGATGCTTTTCCCTTAGGATGACAGAATCACTGCTTTAACACTTAGCAGCACCCTTCTATTTGCCATCTGTTCTATTTAGCCTAGTTTTCTCACCTAATAAATAACCATTCAGGAGAACTGTCCAAGCCAGTATCCTTACTAGGTAACCCAGGTAATTAGTTCCTGCTGGAGATGGTTCAGCTGAATTGCTCCTTGAACAAACAGCACAGCAGCTTTCTCAAGGGAGACAAGAAATCAGGGTAATGTTAGCAAGTTGGTAGGGCTCATGCTCTCTAAAAATCTAGAGTGCTTTCATGATCTCATGAAACAGGTTTATCTACCAGCAGAGGACAAAAATGCCTCCTCTAAGCAGCATTCACTAAGCATGTTCATGGCACAGAGGCTGTGGCACTGAGGTAAAAACAGAGCCTTGCTCTCTCTTCACTTTTAAGCTGAGGCCTTCCTTCTGAACATGGAAGTTACGCTCCTGACTGCTTACTCACTGTGCAGGCTTTGCACTTGCATTCTTCAACTATAACTGCCTGTAATACACAGTTGAGAATTGGGACTATGGCAGCACACAGCTGACTTCCACGCTCCTTCCCTATGCATCTCAGGTGTGCCCAAGATATCATGGGGAAGAGTGAGACTTGGAGCTCAGCACTCCAACCCTTCCACTGTTCAGTCAGCTGAAGCTTTTGCAGCTGAGACTGACAGAAGTGAATCAAAAAAGCAAGAAGACTATAGTAATTAGAAGACTGACTGCTCTCATCTTGCATGTATTTTGTGCGGGGAAAAAGGGAGTTTCCATGGTTCTGGATAAATACTTTCACCAGTAACCTGCAATTCAGGCGTGAATTCGGAGCATACATGGATGGACGATGGGTGGAAACTGGTTAATAGCAGAAAGGAGCTTTCATTATGGAACGTGCAGCATAACTAGGCTCGCTTCCTTGGGAACCCAGGAGGGGGCAACTCTGGGAAAAGAGCATTGAGTAAAAAGTTCTTTTGGCACAGAATTCTACCAGCATCTAATGTTCTGTCTCTTCAGGAGTAGCTTGCCCCTTCCCTCTTAAAATCTCATAAGCAAGAAGGAATATGACCCCTCAAGAACAGAGCTGTAACTTGTTGGAAAACTCTCCCTTTTCTTACCTAAAGGAGGTTACAGTTACTTTCAGGATTTTCTTTTTGCCTTCCATTTGGGTGCAGGAAAGACCTCCTTCTTGCTAAAAGGAAAGTAATAATGGATTTACAGGCCCTCTGAATAGCAAAATAGCCATGAGTTCTTTTGACACTGCTTTCCACCTTGATTAGCAATGCTATAACCAGTGGAACTCCTTATACACAAGATAGATCTGATGAGGGTGAAAAAGGGGATCCACTTTTAAGTTATAGCTAAAATCCAACATCACACTAAGTGGTACAGCTGTACTTCTCACAGTACTCCAAATTTTAAAACAATGCTGACTTTAAAGAGAGCAACCATTCTACTGCAACTCACTGAAGTACCAGCAAAATGCAGGTTTGCTGGGTTAGTTCCAAATCTAGAAAGTTAGAACGATAAGCCTAGGCAACATTCCTTGAAGAAATGGGATTTTATCTATGATATTACTGGTGCCATCGTAAATCAAATTCAAAACATCTGTGCCTTTAATAAGAAGGGGGCATGTATGTGTAAAATGCTGGCAGTTTTTGTTGAATCCATACAGAATCAGTTCTGATCTTAACATGTTATGTCCCAAAAAGTGTTGCTATTCCTGTTACCACTCTTTCTTCTTCTCATCCATGGAGACTCCACCAGGACCCAGTGCAACCACAAGGAGGAGCCCTCCAATTACAGACATGGTCTGGAAGAAATCATATTTGAGGAAGTCGTGCATGGGCTTGTAGGCTGGGATGGTCCAGAAGGCATTGAAGTAGATGTTGATGCCAAAAAGCCAGATGACTAGAGTCAAGGCAGCCAGCTTCGTCTTGAAGCCAATTGCCACCAAGATGATCAGGGCTGTGCCCACAATGTTTTGCAGAATCTGCAAAGAGGGGAGGTTAAAAAAGAAAAAAAGAAGTCAAAACCAAAAAGCAACGCTCCCACCAACACACCAAGTAAGATTTTGTGTCTCTTAAACGGATACACAGACATCAGAGCATGGATAAGCTGTTCATCAGAGCAAGCCGTCTTAGTACAGATAATCTAGTAACATTTTTTTCTAAATATTAATTAAAAAAGACTTTAATGAGAAGCAATGAGTAAGACCGACAGCCAACCTGGGAGGTAGCACTGTATTCCAGTTCCTCAACCCATGCTTTTCACTCACGATACTTACATAAAAGAAGTTCATATCAAAATGCAGCAGTGTCATGAACATGAGGACCAGCAGCACACGGCCCCCAAGCTGCATGTACTGCTTAGGAGAGCTCTCCCGCATAGTGGGGACACCAGCAAACATGCTCTTCCCCTCTGAGCGTGACTCAGCCAAAAGCAGCAGCAAGCCTCCCCCCAGGGCAAGGTTCCTACAAAAAGATACAAGTGGAAAATAAAAGCTTTCTTTTTTCAACAAAACAAAACCAACACAACTGGATCTATAGAGAAATACAAACTATTAAGTCTTATCTGACAATTTTAACTCTAAAGAATCTGAATACTAGTGAGAAGTGATTACTCTGTAACCTGCACTGTGTGCCTGCATGAGAATTTGCAGCTGAAACAGCAGCTTTGTACACAGTGTAGGTTTACACAAGCCTGCATAGACACACACAGCCTGCTAGAGAAGTCTGGCACATGCAGTTCAGGCACAGCTGCTTAGCGTTTGTTATTCTGTGCCTCTGGTTTAACTATATATGCCAAAAAGTCCAGAGTTTGCTTTGAGAACACAGAAAAGCAGAACTGCTAGGAGAAGTTACACATTTACAGGGTTGTAGTAAGCCCAAGAGCACAGATCTTGTGCTGCTACCCTTGTCCTACCCTCAGGGGAGAGGGGTGAGAAGGTAACAGCCACCACTCCACACTTTACAGGAAAGTTCATCATTATCAATAAACTTGTCCTCAACTTATGGAAGATGATATAGACTCGAAATCCCAGAAACCATCCTAGTACCTAAACCTTTCAGTTTTCTCAAATAACACCTTTGGTCTCACATGTAAGCACAGTTGCTCTTTTAACTGTTTAGGAAATAGCAGCTCGCTGATCCAATCCAGATCCCGAGCTCTCGGCAAGGATGGCACAGCAGCAGTTAGAACTTTGTGGGTCAGGATTAGTCTCTTCCTTCTGCAGTGTTGAACCTGCTGCCTATAGCTTATACGAGTGCTGTATATACATTAAGTGCTGGGATATGAATACAAGCAGGCCATCTGTAAAATCTTTCCAGCACTCTGTCCAAAGATAATTCTCTGTCAGAGAATGGAAGCAACAGACAAAAGCTTTTGTTGTGCTTTGATAAAAAAGTAGTCATACCTCATCAAGAACTTCAGGTCCCATAGAATGCTGTATGCAATAGTCTAGGCAAAGAATAAAATAAGTTGAAAACACCATGTACATTGTGCTGAAGTTCTGCATATTTGTTATACTCTCAAACATGTACCATCCATACAAAAGTCAATTAAAAGTACATTACACTACAGGCAACAAGCTAAACTACACCACCACAGTCCTGTGAGTCAGTGTAAAACAGAACTGAAGCCAGAATTTAACTTGTGCTTCAGCCCCCACAAAAACCATCTGTTTTAGACAAAAAATGTTTCAACTTAAAAGGTTCTCTGTCACGGTGGACAGTCCTTCAGAATAACTGTGCTGAACGCCAAAGCAACTGAAAGATCCATGCTTGGTACATTACTGATGTACAGGTAAACTGCCAAGTCACTTCTGCTAAATTGGTCAAGGTCAAGTATCGAATCACCAGCTCCAGTTGACTAATTACAATTATATCCAAGGATCTGTTGGACATGCCAGAAGAACAGAAACTGCAAGACAATTCAATGTCACTGAGGACTGGCATTAGGCCAGAGTGGATAAAAATTCTGGGTATTTAAATATGCTGGTCATACTGCAGCTAAGAGAGAAGACTTGAAAGCTATGGTTTAAAAGGTCTGAAGACTCAAGCCTCCTACCTGTAATGCTATAATTCCAAACAGTCCAAAGCAGGCATATTGCACAAAGTTCCTACTCAGCACCAGGATACAGCCGCCTGAGTTGGGGAAATTGAACACAGTTACACTTCTGGCTTGCACAGGAAAAGATGCTGCAGGAATGCTAACTTGTATTGAACTGAGCAGAATCAGATCTCTGTCAGCTGTGCTGAGGAGAGTCAGTTAGGATTAATGGCACGCTGACACAAATCAGCTTCAGAATCAGTGTTTTTGAACACGTTTAAAAAAGATATGTTTGGAATAATCCCATTTATTTCATAAAGAGGAAGCATATGCTGGATGCAGCCCAAAGCACACAGCACTCCGGAGCAGCTGTCAGTATTAAAGCATAAAAAAGAAGTTGCAGAGAAACTCAACCCATCACAAGGTGAGATTTTGCTTTGCTCTTTCACTTTTTATTCTTTTATTAATGATAACTGTTAGGGCAAACATGCTGCACTCTTTTGCTTTGAAAGCTTTTAGATCTTTCCTCAAGTGTTCCAACAAAAAGCACTGACATGGGAACTATTAACTACATTGAATTAATCTGGAAATAGAATGGTAAAAAACCAAACCCAGGCACAAAAAGTGAAATTAGCAGAGCAATCAAGGACAACAGATGAAGAACATAATGTAAACAGATAAGATGTTATTCCTCTCAATTTCTGGACACCAATTTCACTCAGGAAATATCCAGATGTTCTGCTTCAGGGCTTTGAGTGCCTTTGATATCAGCACTCTCTTGTGGTTGAGGTGCACCAACTGCAGAGTAAGACTCTGCCAGTGAGATTAATCTCTATTAAAAAAAAAAAAAAAGCACACTGTGAAAGTCTTACCAGTGCCCCATTTAAGAAAATGTGATTATTCAACTCAGAGAACTCAGAATTGTGGGAGTGTTTATAGATGGATGGACAGAATTGAAAATAAAACTGTCCTAATAGACTCCTGGCACCTGACTCAAAGGTAATGGGTCACAAGATATTCCTGCAGTTGGTTTCCAGGAAAACCTGAAGCAGGTCAGTTCTTTTCATTCAGCCCGTGGAGCTCAACTCTAAGCTATTAACGGCTGTTAACAAATCAATGAGGTGTCCCGGGCTTACATGATTCACAGTGCTTGCATGAGCCACGGGGTGGCAGACACACTGGAGTGCTCAGGCATCCACCTTAACAGCTTTAGAGCCACTTACTCAGCTGTCCGAAGAGATTTACGAACACAAAGATGGAGGCCAGGAAATAGCCACAGTTCCACGTTCCATCAATGTAATCCCTCTGTTCGCTCCACTGGAACCACATGCGGATGCCATCCTCCAGGAAGGTGCTGATGAGGCACAGGCGGGCCACGTGGGGGAGGTACTGCTTTGTCACCCTCAGGAACTACGGGCAGACAGCACAGTTAGCAGGGGAGGGAGGGCAGAGGGCAAGGTGATACTGCAGGCATAAGAGATCCACTGTTCTCATGCACACACCATCATCAACACCTAAAGGGAAACACAGGCTTAGCGCTACAATTTAATGAATTTCTCTGCCATTCCAGTTTAGGAACACTTGGGAGAAGTGGGGGAAAATTAGTTTTCATGCTCTGCCTGAAGAGGATTTTGGCCAAGGACTCGGGGAAAAGCAGATTCCAGCAGCACCCGTGTAACTAGAACTGTGTTTTGATGGAGCTCTTACTGGAGGAAGGCTGACCTTGGTTTTAGTTTGTCTCAGTTTCATGTTACAGCTCAACTGATCTATCAGATAGCCAGGAGCTGAAAGGGCAATCTACTCCCACCCACATGCTCAGGCACTCAACACCCTGTAACAAACTGATTCAGGGAGTGAGGCTGACAGAGGGCTAACTGCAGAAAGATTAAAAAGCATGAACATGCTTTCTGCCAAGCTAGTTCCCTCTAGCAGCTCATAGAGGCACCACTGCAAAGTATGCGTCTATGTGGAACCTCACCTATACACACAGAAAAACATAATGCATCTGGATTATGACAAGTGCTCAACTCTGTCACACAGCCTCCTGAAGGGAACTGCTAATTAATTACTTAAAGGAGATTTCCACTAGGCATTATCACTCTGAATGCAAGGCAGCACCCAGCTGCCTGCTGCACACACTGCTTTGGCTTGGCCACATCTCTAGAAAGATACGTGGAGCGAGTGTGCACTGCTGCTCAGGCAAAAGCTGTCTAGTAAGTAACAAATGTAAATAAACCTCAAACTAACTCCACAAGATCAACCAGCAGGCTTTCCACCTTCACATGAAGCAGTTTGGGCAGGCTGACACCTGTGAAAGTCAACGCCTGTGTTACAAGTCTTCATGCAGAACGGCCAGACTTACCAGAAATCCCCAATGCGGAATTAGGAGGAGCCATTTAACAGAACTCCAGCATCCCACACAAAGATTGATGCACTGCAAAGCACATGAAGCAGGAAGAGGGCATGGGGAAGGCCACATGTGCACAGGTCTTTGCCAGACAGCACTGAACTTTGTAACAAAGCGGAAGAAACAGCAGACCAAGTTTTTCTTTCCTGATTCAGAACTCACTTTGTCTTCGGGTTAGTCAGTACAGCTAATAAGTTTATTTCTGGTCAGAATATTTTCTGAGGCTCCGGAAGCTTTCAGTACACATGGGAGCAAATGGAAGGGACACGAAAACCATTTCTGCAAGTTTTCACTTATCACACTAATTAGTAAGTACTAAAGGCTGTATCAAATCCTATGGAAATTAAAAGCTTTGCTTACTCTGTAACTGAAGATTATCACAAGAAAAAACGATCTAGCAAACATGCTTAACAGTTAATATCAGAACAAACTACACTAGCTGTACTGTATGCATCCAGAGTCTAAGGGTCAAGATTGGAGTTAACTAAGTGCACATTAAGCACAGCTGTACTCTGACTTGGGGCTGCTACCTCAGACTCGTTAAAGCCATGGTAACAGTTGGATGAATGAGTCAGAAAAAAAATTTATGATCTTTGTCACTGAAGGAGAAACGTCTTGGTTTACAGCTCTCTTTCACTGTGTGTTTGGACAGCCTGAGGTGAAGAATACTACAGATGAAGTTATTTTGGAAATAGTAAAAACCAGAAGTAAACAAAATAATAGTTCCCTGCCAAGCTGCAAAACAGGTAACCTTGGTCAAGAGGGATGAAGCACAAGAAGGAAATGCAAGAGGACAGGGACTGAGCACCTGTAAGAAAAGCAGAAGGAGAAAACAAATAAACCACTGCTGTGGAAAGCCTGAAAAAAGAAGGAAGTATTACAGAGGATATCCACCGCCAGACTTCATCTCTGCGGCTTTTGAAGTGGGTCATGTAAGTTTATCTCTCTTTCTCTTCCCTGAAAGAGCTGCCAAGAGTACAGAGCAGAGAGCCAAAAAGACATTTAGCATTTACCTGTTCTCTTGGCATGTAACAGGAATTTAACACTATCTATTAAACACAAGTGTGAACGTCCAATCAGCTGAAGACAAGTCAGAGCGACTGAGGCCTAAAGCAGCCGCAGTGCTAAGCAACCTTATCACGACATGCACCATCTCTAGACATCCATAAGCCATGGGGCTGCATTTATTTAGCTACACACGAGCTGAAGCCATGATGTGTAGCCAGTTTAAAGCAAATTTCAAAGTTCAGAAACAGACTGCATAAACTAGAAAAGGATAAAAAACACAAAACAAGAGACTGGTGAGGAAGATCCAGAAAGAGGAAGAATATCTGAATTCTTTTATGTCAAAATTCACTTGATGTCTTGTGTGGCAGTTACATGACAAGAAGAGAACAGAAGCAATTTAGGCAAGGACAGAGCAAATTAAAGAAACAGGTCTCTGGAAGTAGGACGGTACTAAAGCTATCAGAAATCCAATCTTGTCTCTACACAACATTAGCAGCACGTAGCTGAACACGCTGCATTTTGAGCCCACTTCCTATGCTGGTGCATGATTCACAGATAAAAAGTAGCATGAAACTTTGCAGCTGATAAATGTAGCCAGGCAGTGCAGGGGTCTCAAAACACACACCACTGCACACACTGCACTTAAGCAAAAATGAAGTGCTGAGACGGACAGAGGTGGCAGCATTAAAGACTCCATGTGCAGCAATCAGGTGGCTTATTCTGCTCTGGGCTTTGCAGCAATTGTTCTTAGCACACGCTGCCTCCCTGCAAGAGCCAAACACCTTGGGAAAAGATAACAAAATACTGAAGCAAAACTGTCTGACAGGAGAACAGCTGGAGCTGTGATGGCAGTCAAGTCATTAGCATACAGCAGAGGGGCTCCGTGTTGCCACTTCCCCCTCCAATGGGATTAGGAGGGCAAACAGATTTCAATGCTTCTCTCAGTTTGACATGCAAAGGCACACAGGATGATTCAGGAACACCAATATCCAATCTCTGTTCAAAACCTGCTTTTCCAAAACGAGGCATGAAAGATTCAAACCTTTGAAAGGAACAGGCCCAAAGAAATGTAACAGAGGGACCCTTTTTCAACTCCTATGCTCTCTCAAATATATTCCCACCTCCAAATCTGTAAGGATGCAAGAATTCTCATTTTCCTCCAGATTTGTGAGTCTGATTCTACCGAACTTAGCAGAAATGCTTCGACAATGAAGACGTCCGAAGTCTAAACACAAAGACTTTTCTCATTTATGTGTTCATCATACATTATGATCACAGTGCTGAACAACCATCTGTTACTACAGAAAAACTCTTCTGGGCTTCAGAACATTACCAGTTCAGAGCCTCTGATGAAGATCTACTTGAAAGATCTGTTGTGATTTTGGTTAAAGGGATGCTTTGTTCTCAAGTGAGCTGACAGCTCTAGTAGATACCACTGATTTTCAAGAGCAGGATGCTTGCTACGTTTTCATCAACCTGTGTATAAAATTTGTGGAGACCTCACCTAATAATCACAAGGACAGCAGCAGCCATCACATACACAAATAAGTATGAGAGCCTCATCAACAAAAGGCAAAAAGAGAGCTCTGATCCACCAGAACATTTAGTCTCAATCACATTTTTAACTGCACTAAGATTTCTCATGACAATGCTTTTCACTTACAGAATGTGCTTTATATCAACTCCCTTTTCAAGACGATTATTCAATCAAATCCTTAGAATGATATTTCTTAGTCATCTACTGCATATTGCTGTCACTACTCATGGGAAGAGTCTTCCCCAGCCGGAGAGGAATAGGCTGCATTTGGTTTAGAATGATAAAGAATCAGTACACCAGCATGACTAAGCCAGAGCTTCCAGATTCAGTTCCTTAATATAAAGGTCAGACTAACAATGAAATGTTTTCTTCTCCCTTTTATTACCTTCAAAATGGGATAGAGAAATGTTAGAATTAGCTGAATAACATGCAACAGCATTTACATACGAAAATTAACTGAAACCCCAGCCTGGTTCTCCCTTGCAGTCCTTTCACTGCAGTACAATGACTCAATGTCTCATTGCATTTTTGTCCTTTTTTTTTTTCCCTTCAGAATGGCAGAAATACCAGGCACCCACATTCCTAAAGATTATTGCAGACATTAGAAAAGTTGCTTGAGATTGGCTTTGCTTTATGGGGATTACAAAAGAGAGGCCTACAGTTCTCCAGCTTAAACAACCACTACATGCAGCTTTTCTTTGTCAGCATAAGAACAGTGCACGGTGACTGCACTGACAAGCTTAACATGCACTATTTTAACAAGTATCACTACTGCACACCCACAGGCTACAGATGTGTGCTAAGCTAAACTACTGGCCAGTGTTCACCACAGATGATCTAGCCACCTTGTTATCACCCCAGTCCTCCACTCCAGAAATCCTCTTGTGCAGGGGCTGGTGCCTAAGCATAAAGATAAATGAGCCAATTGAAAATGAAGACTTGAATTCTTTCAGCCAGTTCAGCTTGCCAAGCTGGTGACAGGTAAGTGCTAATGTGTGAGAAGGAAAGTGAAACATGGCCTTGGGAAAAGTGGGACAGCTCTGGTCAGTGACAGCTAGCTGCCCCGCAAGCTTAGCTGCCTTGCAAGGCCATGTCTTCAATGCAGTACTCCACTCTACTGGGATGGGAATCAAGAGCCACTTGTTTTACCTCCTGGGAACCTTCTGATGAGTATCTTGACATTTAATGGGTAGTTTTATTAATTCAAATGGAAATTGAAGCGTTGGAGAAAAATTAAGCCTCAGTGTTTGAACTTAAGGAAAACATGATTCTTGCTTTTATGACATACTCAGTACTTACTGATAAGCCATGGAAGTAGCTGCAACATTCTCACAGTGCTTTATGTTACAGAAAGAAAGACTTGTCAGGTTTTGAATACAAGGAAGAAAGCAAGGTTATCAATGAGAGTGTATTCAGGTCCCCCACGTAATTGCCCAACTTCTCTAACTCCCTCACTAAGAGATTCAACATACTGACAGTCCAGATGCCCTAGTTATCTTTTTTAGCTCAACGTGAACTAAGTTTCCATAATGTCAAGTGCTCACTTCACAACATATACCAAAGGTTATTGTTTGGTAACTCTCTCCATTCCCATACTGGTGTATGCAGTTGGTTAGCATAGTTAGCAGTTAGTTAGCAACAGGCACAGCACTGAAATGATCCGATTGAGCAAGGAGGCAGCCATTTGGAAGCAGGAACATCGCAGCTACTTGAGAGGCAGCAGTTATTTTGCAATCTGATGGGTAAGTGCATGTAAACACCCCAAATTCTGTGACTAAGGGAAAGATTCATCTTTAAACAGTATGTGCTCAAACACAAATCAAATCAGCCATTTAAAACTCATTTCAGAAGGGAGCAAGTCATAATTCTGCTGGACAAAAGAGCTTTCACTACTATGAAAAGTGAGGGTTAGAGACATCTAGAAATAGGCACACAGGAACAAACAGAGAGGTGTTATAAAAAGGTCAGGACAACAGCGTAAATTTTGGCAAGCAACCTGACTGCTATATTGACAGCTTACATTCACCTTTAGAGAACAGGGTAAGTACAGGCTGATGAAAATAATTAGAACACTCATTAAATTGGGTGCTGCCACACGCCACAAGCTCTAACATGAGTCTTCCATCCGGGGCAGGGAGGAAATGCTGAGCAGGTCTTCCCAGCAGTGACAGCACAGCCCTTGGTGCTGCAGGCATTGTACCACTGACTGTTCAGAAGTTTAAACTGCACAGATGGGTAGAATAAGGTTTTCCCAAAGAATGTGATAAACTGTTATTAGATGTTAGATCTTATTTTCAATTACACAAATCACTACAACAATGAAAGCCTTTCTGACGCTACCACTGCTTACACACACAATATTCCTGCTGTCACGTGCAGGGATTATAAGCTTCTATTTCACAGAAACCTGTAATGGCTGAAATCAAGGGGAGAAGCACCGACACAACACCTTCTCATTTGCTTTCCTCCCACCCCAGCCGCAAGCACAGCACCCCACGGCCAGGGCCTCCTCGCTGGGAGCCTCCCCAGCAGCCAAGGCCTCGCACACCACCAGGAATGGAGCCCATCGCCTTCCCTCCACACACCCCGCGGGCAAACCTCGGCCTCCCGCTCTCCCCCCGTACACCCAGCAGCGGGAGGAGGCCGGCCAGCCTCAGCACCAGCTCAACCACCCGGCGGGCAGGGAACACCGCGGCCTCTCCGCCCCGTGAGAGCCCGCAGCCGCTCCCTCAGCGCCGGATCCCGGCTTCAGCCCGCCTCACCGCCCCCTCCCCACCCCAGGCCTTCCCCGGGGCCCAGCGCTCACCCACCTGATCCGCGAAGTCCTCCGCGGTGCTCATGATATCGTTCTGACCCATCGCAGCGGGGAAAGGAGCGCCGCTGCTATCACGCGCCTCGGGCCCGGCCTCGCGCTGAGGGGCTGCGGCCGCAGGGAAGGAAGAAGGAAGGAAGAAAAGGAAAGGAGAGGAAGGCGAGCGCCGGGCCGCGCCGCACCGCTGCTACTACTGCCACGTAGGCCAGGCCTTAAAGGCGCCGCGCGGGCGGCAGCGCCAACACACGCGGGGCGGGCGGGGCCCGGCAGGAGGGGCGGCACCACCACTGCCGCTCCGCGCTTAAAGGGCTCGCGGCGGCCGCTGAGAGGATGGGGTGCGTGTGTGTATGGGTGCCCACAATGCTGAGGGCGGGCCGGTCGGCCCGGCTTCCCTTTTCCCTCAGTTGTGTAGAGCTGTGTTAAAGCTGCGCTCTGTTTTTTCAGACCAAAAGCGCGGCTCGGCACGCAGGGCGGGATGCCCACTGCTCCTTATCTCTTCACGGAGTTGCCCGTGATTTGCTTCTCGCAGGCTGCGCCTCAGTGGCGACAGCACTGCGGGCAGCGACGGGGAACGGCGCGGCTGAACCGCTCGGCTGAGTCCCTGCGCGCGGGGCTGCGCTGCCATCTGCGGCTTTCCTGCCTCTATTGGTTGCGTTTTTGTTTTTTTTTTTTTTTCTTCCGAAGGGGAGTCGGGGGGGAGTTCTTCCTGTTTTAACTGGAAACCCTCATCCGGGAAGACAGCTCTCAAAAAAGAAATAAATAAAAGAAACGGCTGAGGTGCTGCGCCCAGCCCGTGCTGTGAGGGGGGCCAACCGCCATCGCCTCAGTTTGGGCGGGAACGGCGGCGCGGGAATCGTCACACAGCTCAGCCCCACAGCACGGCCCCGCAGCACAGCCGGTCCCACGGCCCCGCCTCTGTCTTCGCCTCAAGCTCCAAGCCGGGCCCGCCTCGCCATGGAGAAATACGAGGTGGTTCCCCAAGTGCCCGGCGGGGTCTGTGTGTCTGTAGGCTGGCTGACTGCTGGCACTCTGTGCCCCACAGGTTCTTCAGCGGCTGCAGCCCGGGGCGTTGGGCACCGTGCTGGTAGCGGGGCTGAAAGCGGAAAGAAGCCCGGAGAAGAGATTTGTAATAAAGCAGGTGAGAGGGCGGTTGCTATGAAAACAAGACGCCGTCTGCGTGTTGCTCATCTCTGTGGCCCCTTCTGATAACAACAGGTGAATGTGGTGGGCAGCTTGGCTGTTTGGTAAGCTTGTACCTCACACATTGCTGTGCTTCTGAGAATGACCAGAATATTGAGAAAGCTTACCAGAATACTGACATTGAATTGCAGAAAGCAGGTCTACCCAGTGTGTTTTGTGCTGCTGCTTTGACAGTGCAGGAGGGCTGGCCTGTTGTCACAGTCATTTATAGCTTTGTTTCTGTCTATATCCCAAAAACAAGACCATTCCAATCATGAGAGATTCAAGTTATCGTTTTAAACTTATGCCAGTTTGTATTCAATTGTCAGTTCTAATCTCAGCAAGATCGTGCTTCCTCAAAGTTTCATTTTCACCATATTACAACCTCAACTTTGTCTTCTCTTTGGCACAGGTTGAATGCACTGATGAAAAGCAAGCAAATGAGGCGTTGAAGGAGGTATCTGCAATTCTTCTTCGCTAGCTTCACTTGCAAAGACCAAGCTCTTAGCAGAACAACATTTTTGTGACGTTTTATCTGAGCATTAAGTGTGTAAATATGGGAAAGGACAATCTCAGGTGTTCTCCCTGCCCTCTGCTTGAGTTCAAGCCAGAATTTCTTATTAAATGTTCCTATGTTTGAATGTGTAGATTCACAGTCACAAACAAAACTACAGGGCGCTAAGCTGAATTCCTATTACCTTTTCCAACAACAGTAAATAGGTTAAAGTAAGTGGAGTATACAGGGTTTTTTTCATCAATATTTTTTTATTTATCTGTGCAGGCAATGGGTTTGCTAAAACTTCATCATTCAAACATCTGTGCTTACAACGAATTGTTTGTGACTTGGGATAATGAGGTGAGAATTAACTAGGATTAGTTGTTGTTAATGTAGGCATATAGGTATGTTTGGGATCATTGGTGTAAGATAAGAGGTTGTTTAGTATGAAATTAACCTGTTTTTTAATTTCTGAATAATCATGGTGAGAATTATGAAGCTCTCATGAAATATAAGCACCAATTATATGATGGATTGGTGTCCATCATGTGGCAGTACTGCATGCTGGCTCTGATTTTGAAGTCTGCTGCTGCTGTCCTGTTTTCTAATGCATACTTGATTTTGAGCTGCTTTTGTCCCATCTGCAGCAAACCCATGTTAGAGAAAAAAAGCAAAACAAGAAAATTTCCTCTTCTGTTGAGAGGCAGAAATCCTGAGGTTTTATGCACAAACAGATAGCACTCAGATGAAATTCATGTTGGCTTTTATGGATGTATATTTTTTACTTGAACTGTCCCACGTGGTTTCATATAAGAAACACCTGATAACGTTTTGAACAATAGATGCTCTGTTTTTAATATAAATGCTGTCTGCTTTGTGAGAAATTAAACGTCTTGGGACGCCTTGGTATTGGTGAACATCACATCTACCAGCTTGGCCAAGTCCTTGGTTTTATCTTTCTTACTGGATATGTCATTATCTGCAAGCAATTAGTCAGTCTTGGTGTGATGCTTTATTACAGATATCATCTCTGTTCCTCTGTCTGGTAATGCAGCACTCAGGCCAAGTAGATCTTTCATCTCTGATCAAGACAAAAAGGCAGAAGCCGGAGAAAATAGCAGACATGGTAAATTGTACAGAAGAGGCACCTAGCTGAAGTGACTGAATCTCTCTGCATGTATATTTCTTCCTCTGTCTTTCAAAAAGTCATCCCTAAGACCTTCAAAGCGCAGCGTTTTGCTGGAGGGTGCTTTTGGAAGCTTTGTCCTTAATCACTGTGGCATTTCTGTAACACTAACTCTTTGTGTAGTTTGTTCTCAAGCAATTACATCTTTCCCCATTTTACATTTTTATCCATGAAAAATGCAGCTAATTGTTATTGCTGAGCACACCATTGTGTGATGAGCATGTTTATCTATCTGGAGAAAATAGTACTTATTGGTTGGACCTTACTTCAAACAATGGTATTCTCTTGTTGAATATCTGATTTCTTTGTTACGTTGTTATGTGTATGTTATGCTTTCATGTATATACCTAACAACAGGTGGTGCTGAAGTTTCTGGGACAGATGGTGGATGCTTTGTTTTATATACACAAGCAAAATATTTTCCACAGGTGAGCAGAAATCCTGTTCTCTTTGTTTGATGAGTCATTCTTTGTTCTTCATTCACTGTTCTGAGACTGTTGGCTCAGTACAGCTGCTCAGTTATGAAGTGATTTTACTTTCTAATTTGTGAAGGTGTGGAAGTGTGTAGTTATATATCATTAGAACCTGATTTCACATGCTGATGGAAAATATTTGTGTTGCAGAAATCTCAAGCCATCAAACATACTTGTGACTGGCGAAGCATCCTTCAAGCTTTGTGACTTCAGTACAGAAACACTTATGACCGATGAATGGAAATGGCAAATAAGAGTAGAAGAAAGTAGATATGTCTTTTTGCTTTGCTGTGCTTTGACAATACTTTTAAAAGATTCAGTTGTGGTGGATTTTTTTAATCTTTGGAGAAAAACAAGCCACAAAGTTATCTAGCTTTCCCCTCCTCCACATTATACCACAACTGTTCTTCAAAAATATGAATAGAATATTCATGGTCAGTTGCCTGCAGCATTAACTGTGTTCACAATTGAAAACTGTAAATCTCAAAGCTCCTCCACAACAAATACAGTTGGAATCCTTTTTTAGCATGATATAGAAGCAGCAACATCTTGAAAAATCATTTATTAGTTGTAGTGTCTCTCTCATTCTGTTGCAGCATATCAACAGTGGGGGGGAAAAAAAAAAAAAGAAATACCAAACAGCACTCTGCTACGTGTCTCTATAACTCGTAGACATACAACTATTGCCTGCAGTTCATGCCTGCACAAGCAGCGCTGTGCGTAGCACAATGTCAGCAACGTTACCTTGGGATTCTTGTTTCCACAGATTCCAAGTGTTGGATGGCTCCTGAAGCATTCAGTTTTTCTTTCAGTGATAAGTCTGACATCTGGGCTCTAGGGTGCATCCTGCTTGACATGATGACCTGCTTAGTTTTGAATGTATGTAATGATGTTTCATTATGGATTTAAAATATGAGCCCACCGCAGAGCATCTGTAACTGAGGGTGGGAAGGCTGTACTGTTGCTGTACTATTTACAGGCAGAAGAAATCACTTTGTTACTGCAGGATATAAGACGAGATACCAGCCATCTTGAAAGAGTTCTGCCCCTAATGCAAAAGGAAGATAACAGTCCTTTGCCTTTATTCCCAATTTTATCCATGATGCTACAGATCCAGCCCAGCATGAGACCCACAGCAAAGTGAGTTCTTGATGCTTTCCCTTCGTGTCCTAAACCCCACCTACCTTCACAAAGACTGTTTGAAAGGATTTGAATCAAAGTTATTTAAAAAAAAAAAAAAAAGAGAGAGGGAGACTTGGTGTTCAGCTTCTAGAAACGGGCATCCTGATTGCTGTCCTTGTTTTGGAGATTTGCATGGTAAAATCTCATTGCAGGCAACACATTGCATTTTGAGAATGTATACATTTCAGTGTACAGTGGAATATTTTGGTACTGTATCCTTCAAAAAAGCCATTAAGTTAAAGCCCAAGTCTGGCTTGCTTAAGGTTAGCTTCTTCATCAACAGCTTTTAAGTAAATTCTGTAAGTTCTGTAAAATATGTATATGTATCTATTCTTCAAGCAGTATCATTTAACTTTTTATGCCAAAATGAAATGAAGCCTGTAGCACTTTCTCTGTAACTTAGCAATCTAACATATTGGTACTACTTTTGTCTCTCCTAACTCTAGGGATCTGATGGATGTGCCGTTTATTGGGGAATGCCTGGTTGTTGCTGGTTCATCTTTAATAAAACGCAGGAATTCTTTGCCTTCTTGTGCAATAGATGTGTTCCTTAGGGGGGGAATTGGAAGCATTCTAGGTAATAAGAAAAATAAGGCAAATTGAATATAATGAATATAATAGCTTTTTTTTTTTTTTTTTGTAGGAAAGAAACCAATGTCGTTTCCATTCAGCATGTATTCTGCTTGGAAATGAACTATTTCACTTTAT